GAAATCTAAAGTTGTTTTTGTCTGTTCGCTTCATATCCTCTTTCTTCCCCGCTCCTCCGTTCCCCCCTCCCTCCCCGCCCATCTTTTTTCAATCCACACTACAGGATGGAAACGTGAACTACTGCTAAATTCAGGTTCATTATTTAAGGATACAAATCTGACCCAAAGGTGAGAGGCGATTCTAATATTATAGAGAAAGAAAATGTGGTTGTCTGGTTTATCAAGACTGTGCTGTCAAGTGATGTTAATTCTAGTTGCGGGAATCGGAGAAGATAACGGGAGCAGAGCTGTCAAAGGCACTCGAAAAACTGGAAGCAGAGAAGGAGCGCAATCGACGTATTAGCAGCGAGGTAAGCTCTTCCGAGTTACAACAAACTGTAGTAAGAAACGCCAACGCACTCTGGATAATCGTTTGTAACAAATTTATGCATTTCTTTTGTAACCACCCTTGGTGAATTCGAAACAGCCCGGATTGCTGGGAAGACTTTCCATTGCTGTCTCTTTCAAGAGCTGCTTTACAAGCATGCTGATGGCGGATTTGACCCCTCGACATATACCCAAAATAATTTATCACGAAAACGAATGAATGAATCATAGAGAGATTGGTTACGCCATTTGCGGAGTCGGACCTTCGACTTTCCGCACGATGCTGCTTACTACTGAGCCATGAAAAGTGCAAAAAATTTTAATATAAAAGTGGAATAGTTTAGGCACTGTTTATTCTTTTTTGAAAATATCCTTAGCTTAGCCAGCCTTATTACGATTAATTCATGATTTTCGTTGGTAAACTAGTACTGACATATGCCAGAGAGACAGTCCGCCATTAGCTTGCTTCTGAGCAACCCTCGTGGGAGCTGTCAACAACCTCGACGGCGAGTATTTGCTTTTGGCATTTTCTAACCTTGAAACATTTTCAAATGTCTTCGCATTGCACAGAGAGTGAATTCGGGAAGAGTTTTGACCGCAATTTGATATTTTAGAATCTGGTGTTATTTTCTAGAAATTTTAGCTGGAAGAATATCAGCAAACGAAAGAAATGGCCCGGGAAGCTCGTGCAAGAATGCAGAAGGAGCTGGACGCGCTGAAGGCACTCTCCGAATCGCTTTCCAATGAAAACAAAGCGCTGCGCCAAGAGAAATATGCGCTGAACGAACGATGTGAGGAATTACTGAAAAAGGTATGACTATTTGAAGTCCAAAATTTAATCGCTGTGCTGTTGTGCTGATGAGGTCCAATGTTACACTGAGCTGAGGTCGTTATGCGGCTTAATGGACCGAAATTAGCTAAATTATTAATTCCTCGTATAAGGATACATTTTCCAGTCTTCAATATTTCCAAACATACTTTATAAGTAGATAATAACGATTCTCTGAATTACACACAGAATTTTACCCCAAAACAAACATATAATTGAATACCAAATATCATTATCTAAATGCACCAAAACTGGTGTGACAATCAACTAAGCTGCCATCATGATTCTGCATTGCCATAAACTCTTGATTTTTTTTTTTTTTTGAATAAATTTATTTAGAACATAAAATAATTTAAAAAAGTGTTGCCTTAAAAAAGTGTTGTTTTATCAGTGTGTAAACCCCATAACAGTCAAGTTACTGGCATGTCCTGAAACTCGCCGAGCGCAAAAATATACAGTAAGAATTTAGAATCCCGGGAGATCTCTGAACACTGTGCTAACAAAAGTTAGAGCTCGAGACTGGGAGAAGGCGGGGGGGGGAGAGGGTTTAGAAACTGATTCAATTGGTCCATGTCCGCTTATGACCCGCAACTAAAATTTGCATTTATT